CAGTTCGAGGAAGGCGAGACCTTGGAGCAGACCGCGCCGCACGAGGAACCATTTCCCGAAGCACACACCACACCAGAGCCAGAGCAGCCAACCAAAGTTTCCAGCAGGTCGCGGTGAAGCTCAGGAAGCTTAAGATCAGAAGGCGACGGGGAGCGGCACATCAGTGACCTATGGCGGCTTTGTGGCACGGCGCCATCATCCACGGGGTCAGCCCTGCAGCCATGCGAGGAGCACGAAGGCGCTATGCTCAGGCGCTCAGGAGAAGCTGGCCAGGACGCTGCTTGACGACCTTCCTGGCCTTGGAGGGCGCCGACCCGAAGGAGACCATCACTAGAGGACGGCTAAAGGCGTGGTTCGACGTATGAAGCAGGTGCCCCGATATCAGGACGCAGGCGCGCAGGGCATGGCCGAAAGTCTACTTCAGGCTCTGGCACACAGAGGAGACGAAGCGATGGAAACAGAGGCGAGGCGTCATGGGCAGCATCATCCTACTTCTATGGTCAGCAGGCTGGGACTCACGAGGGCAAGACATCTGGATCGACAAGCAGGGCGACATGTGGCCAGGAAGACGGAGAGCCAGACGGCATCATCGAGGCGCTGATAAGTGACGGACAACTTCAACAATGGCATGAAACGGCGACACACTACAACGGGAAATGAGCCGAAGGAGGTATCGACTGCAAGGACATCATCAAACACCTGGAGGCGTACAAGAAGAGGGACCGGCACCATCAGTACGGTGCGCTAGTCACCGCAGCGTGCGCAGGATCGTGCACGAGATCGAGGCGAACGGCAACCTTCGGCGGCACAGACAGCCGATGTGAATGCGGCGCCGTCGACACTGACCTGCAACGCATCTGGGAGAACTGCGAAGCAAGGAAGCCGAACGAGATCTAGGAGAAGACCCAAGGCCTAGCGGAAAGAGCTGCAAGAGGCCGAGACGAACCCAGTCTTCTGGCTGCGAGGGCTGACACCATCGGCTTGGACCACACCACCAGCCTGCAGCACCGAAGACGGCGAGGAGGAGACCCTAGGAGCAGCGCGAGATGGACACCTAGTTCGGCCAGCACCAGGAGAACGACTGGAAGCATATGGGGACGGCTCAGGCGGCGAATACAGCAGCGACGACAGACTCAGGAGGTGTGGCTGGAGCTGGGTGATCGTCGACCAGAACACCAACAAGGCGCGGGACTACGACATCTACCTAGGCCAATACGGAGCCCTACCAAGAGGCACGCAGACCAATAACAGGGCGGAGCTGTACGCGCTCATCAGGTGTTTAGCGTCACGGCGAGGCCCCATCACCTTCTGGATGGACAGCGAGGTCACGTACATCGACTGGCAGATGCAGAGGGACCAGCAGGAGCTGCAGACAGGCGCGAACAGCGACCTCTGGAAGAAGCTTGCGGGCACGATCTACGAAAGGGGCGAACGCAACGACATCAGCATCAAGCACGTCAACAGCAACCTGACGGAGGAAGAGGCCACCAGCAAGCAAGTACCCAGATCTGTCTGGGAAGGCAACAGACACGCGGACCGCCTTGCCGAGCAAGGAACGCTACGCCACGCCATCCCGCGCAACGAGGTGAGCTGCTACGAGTGGGCGCGGGCTACAGCAACCTTGGTCCGACAACGCATCACCATCACCACCATGGACTGCGTCGAGAGAACGCCAAGTGAAGGCAGAGAGAAGTTCGAGCAGCACGACGCCAAGCAGCACAAGAGGAAAGGCGACGACGCAATAAAGAAACAGCACTACTTCGACAGCGAGGAAGAGGTCAGGCCGAACACCACGCACACGCTTCAGCGACAACGGCGAGGCAAAGGGTGGACATGCAGCTGCTGTAACCAGTCGGTCAACAGGCACACGAACATGAAGGTGCTCAAGATGTGGTTCGGGCACGGATGCCAAGGGCCCCCCACCTGAACACGGACGCGAAGTGATGTACCACGGAACGGCGGCGCACCCTACGCACCCGCTGAGATGGATAGCAAGCCCAAAGAGATGGTACTGCAGACGTTGCGCCAGCTCGGTCACAGAGCTCATCAGCCAGAAGTTGCAGATGCCTGCATGGGCCAACCGAGCTGCGAGTCCATGACGTACAAGCTGAAGCACTGGGAGGACAAGGCCGACGAAAGGAGCTGGCAAGGCAGGGACACGGAAGCTGGCCTGGCGCAGCTCGAGGAAACTTTGGAGGTCGGCAACACACCATCCAGGCCCTAGGGGGCGGCGGATGTACAAGTGGTCCTCCGCACCCGGGGAGCGGTGTCGGGCGGAAGCCTCACGGCGACCGCTGTAGCCGCCCCTCCATCTGGAGGCATTTCGTCGCCACACTGCTGGACGACCGGGCCAGAGAATCAACATGAGGCCAAAGCAGATGAAGACGAGACAGAGCGCGAGAGCAAGATACCAACACTGACGAGACGCCTACTGGCAGCCGCGATCTCAACACCAGCCAGCAGAGAAGACGTCACGGACATCCTGATCGCGAACGATGACGACAACAGCCAGTATAGCAGCAGTACGACGGAAGCCAGCAACACAACACTGACAACCCGAAGACCGAGCTGAACATAGACAAGGTAACGCACACGGACAACCCGACGCACGAACAGAACATAGACAAGGTGAAGTACACGGACACCTCGGGCGATGGGGGACGGACTGTAACTAACCCATCGCCCGAGAAGGAAGCAGCGACAACCGTCGCGGGCGACGCGAACTTCGAGAGGGAGAAGCGCACCACGCTGAAGGAGCTGCTCGCGCTGGCGCAGAAGCCGCCTCGTCGTGACGCTGGAGGCGCAGCGCTGGCGCCCGCGGGGAGCCCGTCCGCGACCTCGCGGTGGCCGCGGCAGCCTAAGCCGCGGGTCTGCGCGGCGCCGCAGGCGGGACCGCCGCGGGAGAGAGGAGAGGCGGCATCGCCGCCAGGGGAAAAGGCTGTGGAAAGGCTCCTCCTCCATCTCCTCCAGCTCGTCCTCCTCCATATCCTCCTCCTCCTCCTCATCATCCTCCTCCTCCTCCTCATCCTCCTCGTCCTCCTCCTCCTGCTCCACCTCCTTCTCCTTCTCCTCCTCCTCCTCTTCCTTCTCTGGTCTCCTCCTCCTCCTCCTCGTCCTCCTCCTCCTCCTCATGATCCCCCTCCTCCTGCTCCTCCTCCTCCTCCTCCTCATCATCATCATCATCATCCTCATCCTCATCCTCATCATCATCATCATCATCATCATCATCATCATCATCATCATCATCATCGTCATCATCATCATCAGCATCATCATCATCATCATCAGCATCAGCATCAGCATCAGCATCAGCATCAGCATCAGCATCAGCATCAGCATCATCATCATCATCATCATCATCATCATCATCATCATCATCATCATCATCATCATCATCATCAGCATCATCATCACCATCATCACGATCATCAACATGAACATCAACATCAACAGCATCATCAACATCATCGTCATCATCATCATCCATCCTCCTCCTCCTCCTCCTCCCTCCTTCCTCCTTCCTCCCTCCTGCTTCCGCTTCCTCCTCCTCCTCCTCCTCCTCCTCCTCCTCCTCTGGGCCTCACGCCTCGCCTCGATGGTTTTTGGCCCCCCACATTAACCCTCTTCGGAACTCGAGAAAGAGGACGAACGGAGGGAGCAGGCGGGGGGAATGAGGACATGGAGGACGAGGAGGAGGAGGACGAGGAGGAGGAGGAGGGCGCGGAAGGGGAAGAGGAGGAGGGCGAGAAGGCCTCGTGACGTAGGAGGAGGAGGAGGCGGAGGAGAAGGAGGAGGAGGAATCCTCGCGCGCCAGAGGCATCCCCCGCCATCCGACGTCATGGGCAACACACGACGTCGTGAGCCAAAGTCACGACCAGAGCTCTCGAGTAGTGTCCGCCTGATTGTTCGAGTCGGCTCGATGTGTGCGCGTCTCGGGGCTCACGACGGGGAGAAACACGCCTGCCGTAGTTCCCAGCCCTCCTGAGCTGATGGATCCTCGCTTTCTCTCCGCAGCGCTGCACGTCCGATCCTTTCTCTTCCTTCTCCTTCGCCTCTTGTTACTGACCTCGTCGATTTCGGCACACCTCTCACACGCCTCGTGCGCTTCTGCATCTGCTCTTCCTATCCCTGGCATCCGAAAAAGTGGAGACGAGAGGGGTTTCGTGTGACGGATTTGTTCCTCCTCTTCCTCCTCCTCCTCCTCCTTCTCCTGATCTCGCCATTCCGCGTTCAGCCTCATCCTCGTATTCCTCAATACCCTTCATCTTATCCTCATGCTCCTCCTTAGGGCGGTTCACGCGCCACCCCCGCCCAGTTCGGCACATCCCTCATGCGGATCGTGCTCCACAGGGACCCGGACTCCGCACATCCTGGGTCGTGGAGAGGGGCGCGCCCTACGCTACACGCCGCTGCCGAGGGTTGGACCCTTCGCAAGGCATGTTTTTCTCGACGCCCTGGGGATCCAGCGGCCATCAAAGCATCCCAATACGAGATACTCGGGGGCTCTTCAACCTCACGAACTCAACCCCCTCGGGTATCTCCAACCGTTACCCTACATGGAGGCGTTGTTCTCGCTCATGGTCTCCTGGTGCGAGGGTCTGTTGAGTCACGTGTCCTGGGCACCAGAAGAAGATGTCCTGTTCACAGACTGCCTGAGATAGCGCAACTGCTGAGAGGGGGGGTGTTTTGCTACTGGCACAAACTGCCTGCAATCGCCATGTTCAGCGGAAATGTGTTTAAAACTACGGCGTCTCTCGGGAAAGTCATCTTCTTGCTTGCGCCAACTCGTCGCCGAATCGGGGAATCCTGGCGACACTTGTTTTTGACCTCTCTTGCGAGGCCTGTGTTCGATTCCGCCGAACTTGCGATGACCTTCCGCCGCCCGTCTTCTCCTGACGCTGGCTTCCGCGGACCCTCCGCCGAGGGGAGGAGGTCAACCTCTCTCCTTCGAAGAAGCAGCCCCGCAGGAAGCAAGCGCCCTCCGATGGTAAGCCGCGGGCTTGTCCCGGAAGTCGCTCCGGTCCGTGCGGTGGCCGAGCTTGCCCTCCACCTGCGGGAGGGAAAGGCGCCGACCACATACATCCAACGATGTGGTGTTCAATGCGCGGCCACACAGGTCCCGGCCCCTTCCGCAGGCGCAAGCCTTGGCCCCAGATCCTGATTGGATGGTCCCTGGGCCCGCCCACGGGCCCCGGAGGCGGAGAACAAGGAGCACAGCACATCGTCGGAGATCTGGGATCGTCGGCGCAGGAGACGAGGAGGGGGGCGGACGGAGGAGGCTTAGGGGACGCCCAACTGTGCGCGTCGCGCCGCGAGCGGTGCGCGATTGGCGCGCCCTCGCGAAAAGGAGAAGTCGCCGACCCAGGCCGCGACGCCGCCAAGCGCGGCGGTCATCTCGGCACCCCCGCGGGTGGTCCAGGAGACAGGGGCAGAGGAGAAGCCGAAAGATCAGCTTCACGTTGTTTAATGTCGAGATCTGCGGGTGGGGAACACATGAAGCGACGCTCTGGGCCACGATCTCTATCCAGAGCGGGTTCGTGGTCGCCGCACTAGCGTTCCAATGCCATGGCGGCGTCCCATTCGTCGTAAGGCTCCCAAAGAAAAGTTGAAATAGTGGCGAGGGGGGGGGCAGGGAGGAGGGAGGGCGAAAGGACGGCTGCATTGCTCGAAGGCCGCATTGCCAGATCGGGCCCTCAGGGGAGGGAGGGAGAGAGGGAGGGAGGGAGGGAGGAAGGGAGAGGAAGGAGGAGGAGGAGGAGGAGGAGGAGGAGGAGGAGGACCAGTGCAAACCCAAGACTCATCAACGATGTTGAAACACCCCTTTCCTCCAAGATCCTTTTTTTCCATAGGCCCCATACCAGAAGTCACTTGCACAGAAAGACACGCCCCGTTGGGGGACAACCGTGTGAACATCCGAGAGCATGCCAAAACACCATTCACAGGACTTCAACGCCACGAATTGCCCTTACGGCTTGTACTGGCGATCTTGAATCGCGCCAAAACGCCATTCTTTGGACTTCAACACCGCGAAATAACTTAATTGTTGCGCCCTGACAGTCCTGAACCATTCCGAAACACCGCGTATGGCACGTTAGCCATGAGAACACATGAACCCCCCAAATGTTTACAAAGAATGTGCGAGGCGCTAATGCGAGAACCACATTGTGAAAGGAACCACCTTCAATCCGTTAATCTCTTGCATTTGTGTTGAACGATGTGCGCGGCGCTAAAGCGAGAGCCACCTGTTGAAAACGGCCCGCCCTCAATCGGTGAAGCTTTTGCAGCTATTGTTAACGAGTGTGCGCGGCGCGAAAACGAGAACCACGTTTTGAAAACCAGCCGCCCTCAATCCGTGAAGCTCTTGCAGCGTTTAGGTACGTTTAAAACGAATGCACGCGGCGCGAAAACGAAAACCACATTTTGAAAATAGCCCGCCCCCAGTCCGTGAAACTTTTGACGTGTTTAGAACGAACGTGCGCGGCGCTACGGCGAGAACCAAACGTTGAAAACGAGTCGGCCTCAATCAATGAAACTCTTGAACATGTTCACTTTAAGGACGACTGCGTGGTGCTAAGGCGAAGACCACATTTTGAAACCGACCCGCCCTCAATCCGTGAAACTCTGAGCCTAGAGCAAACGTTTAAAACGAATGTGCACGGCGCTATGGCGAGAGCCAGATTTTGAAAACCACCCGCCCTCCATCCTTGAAGCTGTTGTCGAATTTTAAGCATCAGGGTCCCACGTGGCGAGGAAGTCTAACGCGACACGCCCAACCCGCCCTTTCGACCGGCCTCGGAGTGCGACAGGGAAAAGCTATCTAGAAGGAAAAACAATGGAGGAGGAGGAGGAATAATAGGAAGAGGAAGAGTAGGAGGAGACGGAAACGGAAGAGGAAGCGTCATCCCGAAAGCGAATAGCACGTTCACGACATGGGACCGTTGGAACGCCAGCACGCGGCGGCTAGATGCACAACGCCTCTTGGGTTTGCGTCAACATGGCCACGACCCAAGAGCGCGGGTTCTCCCCGCTGCGCGGGCGCCTGAGCGGCGCGAGAGGCCCCGCCTCTCAGCGGGTCGTTGGCCTCGAAATCGGAGCCGATGGAGTCCGCCAGGTGGCCGCCCTCGGCGGGCAGCGCCGCGAACTCGTCGACGTCGAAGTGCGAGCCACCCTCGAAGGCGGGCGCGGCGCAATCAGCGCCGCGATCGCCGAAGCTCTGGTACGCGTAGAGGCGGCGCGCCTCGTTGTTGGTGGCCCAGCCAGGGCGAGAGCTCCGAATCTCCTCCTGAGTCTTTGAGACCGCGTCCTGTTGAAGCGCGCTTTGCTGGAGTGCGTCGGAAGGCCCGGCGCCGCGATCTCCGAGTGTTCCACCACCCAGCGCCATCGACCAGGTCGGGCTAGCACCGCATCTCGCCGCGCAGCAGGCCGGAGAAGTAGTTGCAGTCGCCATCGTCGGAGCAGTCGCCGAAACCCAACTGGGAGACGCACGCGTTGGATGAGGCGACGCGGCCGCCGTAGTTAAAGGGGGCGCTAGCGCGCGGCCGTGGGGATCGCCCCGCTTCTGGGTCAGATCCTCGGCAAGGTTAGACAATAAAGAGAACAGCATCGGCGCAGCTCTAAGAGGTCTGCTCGTCGAAACATCTGCGCGCGAGGCACTGCCCAGTCTGGGGGCGGCTGGCGAGCGCCGCGAAAGCTTTCAGCAGCGCGGGCGCCGCAGCTTCCATTGGACTCGCCGCCCTTGGCGCGCAGGTCTTGGACAGCAGCGCCGCCAGATGACGAAGCTCTGCGGTTCTCCGGTCGCCGCAAGTGGTCGTGACAACGACGATGATCCACCTCGGTCTAGCGTCGGCATGCGGTCGACATTCTCCGCGCCAGGCCAGCGCCACCACTTGCGCAGACCCACGAAGCATAATCAGCCTTCTCCACCCCTTGGTCATGAACACCGCGAGCACGGAGCCGTTGTCCAGAGTCGGCCCGACCCCCAGCACGGCCCTGATCCACTGCTGGGGCCCGAATTTCAGCCAGTTGGCCAGGGGCATCGTGTGCAAGACGTAGTTGACCCCGTTTGCATCAGCGTGATTTTCTGGCATTCTCTGCAACGGGCCAGCGCCAGCGCCTGCGCGCGCCATCGCAACGCCCACGTGAGAATGAGCAACGCGATCAGCGCGGAGGGGTTGGGGAGGAGGCGCCAGGCGGGGCATCGGCATGGGCGACGAGCGCGGCGTCGGGCAAAGCGTTGGGCGGGGCGTCGGGCGAGGCTTCGAGTGGCAAAGATGAAACGTCAAGGGGTTGGGAAGGTCGTGGGACGTCGGGCGGGGAGTCGGGTGGGGCGTCGGGGAGGGCGTCGCGGTCCCGACCACAAGCGCGACCCCGTAGGCGGCCTTTACCAATGGGGCCCCCTCGATCAGCAACGGGCCGAAGAAAACCGTCACGGAGATCACTGCCACCGCATTGGTCGTCGCAGGCCGCTGGAGTGCGAAGATCGTCGTGTACCGTGCCAGCTGGTAGCGCGCCAAGAAGACCCAGCCGAAGGTCGGGAAAAGCGTCGCCATCGCTGTGCAAGCCACCATCGACCCCTGCATTGGCAGAATACGCACCAGACACGCCACCGCGTACAGCAGCAAACGAAAGAGCAGCAACCACGGCACCTAACACGGGCAGCTGATCCCGAGCGTCAGCGTCAACTAGCTCAACGAGACCAGGGTTGACGGTGTGAGAGTCTTCTGGGAGTGGATCATGCCGTGGAGCGTGACATTCCAGCGCGTTGAGTCCCGATGTGTGCGCTTGCCAGAGAGCCGCAGAAAGCGATGGTGCGTCACCATACCCTGGAAAAAAACATGGCCAAGCTGGTCGTGCTCCGCAGCGATCGAGTCGTCGTCGGCCTGTCCAGTGAGAGTAAGGGCATTCGTCGCCGAAGACACAGTCCGGGTAGAACTTGCAAGCGTTGCAGGTGGAGATACGCGGGCCTTCAGGCAGCACCTTCAAGCAGAAGAAGGCCACCGTCTCCGAACACATGGGGACGCCGCAGCCAGCAGCAGGGTGCACCGACACAACAGCGCGCATCCCGCGAGAGGCAACGCGATCCTCAAACAGGGACAGCTCGGCTTCAAAGTCGTAGTCGAAGGTCTTGCACTGGTCGATATCGTCGGACCACGTGGTGCCGTTCCCGCAAAACGAGCCAAGGCCAGCGGCGCGGGCCACTTACTGAACCACGTCTCCAGCATGATTAGCCTCTTCAGGAGTAAACCACCAGCACCACGGAACCGAACAATCAGAAGCGAGGGGTACTGGGCCTCCCAAACGTCGAAGTTCCTGACCAGGGTGAGGATGGCAGCCTTCATCTGGGTGGGCCTATCGACGGACGTACCGCCAGTAGAGGGTCGACGCGCTTCAGCGGATACGTCATGAAAGGCACCGTTAGCCAGCGGGCGATCATCGGTTACACCGTACACTCGTGGTGGGGCAGCGCCTTCAAGAAGGACTGCAAGAACATGTCAGGAAGAGGAGCAGGCGGAAGGGCGCCATCTCCGCACTCATCGTCATCATGTGTGTCCGCCCAAGTCAAACGAGCAGTGGCCAGCAGGGGGCGGCGCGGCGCCTCTGCGGGCGAAGACAACGCCACAGGGCAGTAATGCTTGGCGCAGTCAGCCCGCTCGAGCACCCACCTAGCGTTCTTATCGCCAGTCTGGTCCAGCATTTTCGTTTTGCCACTTTTGGCCTTTCGTTTTGTCATTCTTCTACTGCCGCCTGCGGCAACGGCTTGCTACAGACTGGAGCATGTGCAGTGGCGGAAGGCCGCGACTAAGCTTGCCAAGCGTTTAACTACACAATTGCGACCCCCGGGCGAGGACGAGGCGGGCGAGACGTAGGCCGAGACCTTGCCCGACGTCGTGGGCTCCCCGCGCTGCCAGTCCAAACAGCGGTGCTCCTTGCCGCGATCCATTGCCTTCGCACCGATGCGGTCCTCCGCGGCGCACTCCACGGAGCGGCAACCAGGGCCAGAGTGAGCAGCACGAAACCGATCGTCACGTAGTCGGCGTCGCTCTTGCGCAG